CATATTCACATTCAGGGAACATGAGCCCTGGAAACGGCTACGCCAGTCAATTTTGACTATCGTCGGGTGTGAGTTGTATTATGGAAATTGTTTCTTAAAAAAGTAAGCTTCTGGCTAACTAGATACATTTGAATTGCTTACAGAGTTTATCTTACAAAAAAAAATTTTTTTTTTTTTTTTTTTACCAGCAAGTTTTATTTATCAATGTCATTATGTGCATCCCAAGAGAAAAAAGGTGAATATAATGTATGTTTGTAACTGTTAAAAAATCTATTTAACAATAGGATCCAGTCTCGGTTCCGTTCATTTCACCGACAATCAATTCACCGACAGTACTATTCACTGACATTCAATTCACTGACAAGCCCATTTCACCGACAGTCATTTCGCCGACAAAGTAATTCTGGTCATTGTCGTTAGGGTCAGACTAGAATTAGAGTTAAGGTTAGTGTAATTTATAAAAAAAACTTGTCGGTGAATCGTACTATCGGTGAATGTCGGTGAATCGTACTGTCGGTGAAATGAACCGGATCCTCTAGTCTATATTTAATTTTTGTTCATGGCGACTTATTCATTCATAAGTCAAGATAATTTTCAATCGAGGTATGCACATCTAATTTCTTTTCATTTATATTAATTATTTAAAATAGATTATTCATTTCTTAGTTAATTATTTCACGTTGATATTTTCATTCGAAGTATAGACAAAAATTTTTTTATCGATATTCACATTAAAAAATATAGACTAAAATCTCAAATAAAAAAACTGGAGAGGAAAATCCGAAAAAAAGACAAGCAAAGCAAATTGGGAGATGAAAACAGCTGGTTGTTTGACCCACCCGGACGCATGTAAAATTCGTTATCTGTTATTTCTTGTCTCCGTGACCGTAAAATCGACCAGACCATTAGAGAAAAACCTTCCTGACATAATTACTAAAATCATTTACATAAACTCTGATTAAAATTATATGCCTGTTTATAAGCTAAATGAGAAGATCCAATAAAACCTAAATGAGTAGATACAATAAAAATGACACATAAATATAAGAATTTTTTTTTTTTTGATTTGTACTTCTAAGCCATTTCTTTCATTGAGAAAAGATTGAAAGCTTTTTTAGCAAAAATCATCCACATGTAAATAAAAAAAATAACGGGCTGTTAGTATATATATTGTTTAAATTCTTCCGCGATCTTCTATATTTTTCTTCTATATATCTCTGACAGTTGCATCTGTCAATAAATCAAAATAGTCTTGCGTCTTTTTTTATGATGAATATAGAAACATTCGTCAATTTCACAGGCCCAAATATGCATTAATATTTATCTGCCATAACATTCATTTCTAACTATGAATGTTTGAACTTCTATATAGCATCTTCTTCACGCTTTTATGTTTTTCATTTAAATGAATTAAGCATTGTTACTTGTGAACGAATTAATAGGTTCTATTAAATGAATATAATACTATACAACTCACTCTTGTTATAGCGAACTCTCGATATGAAAAGACATAAAATTTCGATATAGTGAAGCACAAAGTTTGTCTATATAAAATTTTCAATACACAGTAAATTTACTAATAAAACTTCGTTATAGTGAATTTTTTATTCATGGAACGGATTAATGAGATGTTGATTTGAATTTCTATTAAATGTCCTGTAATGGTAAGAAAGAATAACTTACTGTAAATTATTCTGCCCTAAACATTAAAATTTTTAAAAATCAATTTGTTACTGGTTGTATCTAAGGTAGAAAAGGTCATAATATACAAAAAAATTATGCAAAGAATATGGTTTGAAAATTGGCTTTTGAATCGTGCAATCTGCGGCGACGAGTAGGCTAATCAGTTAAATTGCACCTAAATTATAGCTCATAATTCGGGCGCAAAAAAAACACATGATTCATAATTTCGTGACGACAGATCTATTTATTATGACTTGTGAATTGTCAAAATTATTCATTTGAAAACCCATTATTCTCAGATCAACTCGAGGACGATCTAAAGCAGTTGAATAAAAGTTCTCTGATTCTTGGATTTATGCACGAAATGTCTCAGCCACACCTTGTTCTCGGCGTTCCTCCTTCGTCGTGGGACGAAAGTTTATCTTTCAAAATTCATTGTGGACTTTCAGGTATCAGATTCATCTTGAAAATGCGTATATGCTCATATAGATCCGAAGTTCTATACCAATTTTATGTTCTGTAGAGGGTGTTATTAGAAATATCGAACCTGTTGGTCGTTATTTTCTCGCACATGCTCGTCGAAAGCTTAATAATCATAGCTTTTCTGAAGACGAACGTATTCAAGCTGAGGCCAATGCAAAACAATTAGAAGTCATTCAAGATGAAGACTTTGAAGAAGAGACGCCTGAACTATTGTCACGGGATCCCAAGGATTGGAAGGTAGATGGTAGAATTCAATAAATAATTTTTTTAATAAGTTATTATTACTGCTTTATATTCATACAAATCAAATTCAAGTTAATCAATGCTATTATTGTTAACCAACAAATTTGGTATTAGGAACAAGACCATTATGCAATTTTGGGACTCTCAAAATATAGGTGGAAAGCAACTGATGAACAGATCAAACAAGCACGTACGTAATTTTCGATCCAATGATAATTATATATAATCTGATCTATTTGAATTGATTGAGTTCTCATAATAAATTGTAATAATAATGTGTTTAGATAGGAAAAAAGTACTCAAACATCACCCAGACAAAAAAGCATCGAGCGGAAACACCAATGATGATGGGTTTTTCAAATGCATTCAGAAAGGTATTTAAGTGATTTATTAATGCATAAAGTATTGAATATTAATAAACCTTACATGTTCTTATTTTATACAGCATATGAAATACTTTCTGATCCTGTAAGACGTCGACAATTTGATTCGGTTGATGAAGCCATCGATGACACTCCACCAAGCGCAAAAGCTAAAGGAGACTTTTTTGAATTATATGGCCCAGTATTTCAACGGGAGGCTAGGTAAACTCGAATGATTTATTTTTATATGATAACACATTTTCATTACTTTTATTTATAATTGATAGATTTTCAAATAAAACACCGGTGCCAATGCTTGGAGATATAAATACTATCAAATCCGAAGTAGAGGCATTTTACGATTTCTGGTATTATAACTATTTTTAAGATTTATTTCTTCACCATAAAACTATCGTTAACGCGCTTTAAATATTAGGTATAACTTTGATTCTTGGAGATCATTTGAATATTATGACAAGGAGGATACAGACAATACGGACAAGTGCATATCATTTTCATGTTTTCCGAATAAAGCTTTGCAGAAAGGAAGTCTATTTGCTTAAATTGCTCGACATAATTGGATATAAAATTTAAATAGTTATCTTTTTCCTCTTTATCGTCATCATCATCTGCCTCGATTTCTTGTTTATTTGTTATTCAAAGCCGAGACGATAAGCGGTATATTGAACGTAAGAACAAGGCTGAAAGAGCCAAATATAAAAAGGAAGACACGATACGGTTGAGAAAAATTATCGGTGGGTAGTTTTCTCATGGGTTTATTTTTTATTGTGAAATATTATCTAATAAATAATCTTCGATTGAATCGATAAGATCAGGCATTATCTTTAGATCCGCGCATTCAGAAATTTAAACAAGAGGAAAAGGCGGCTAAAGAGGCAAAGAAAAAAGAAAAAGAAGACGCAATCAAAAATGCAAAAGAAGCAGCTCAAAGAGTACAGCAGATTTATTAATTTTAAAGTTTGCAACAAAAATTATAAAATAAATAGTAACATAATATCAATTTGACAAAGGCTGCTGAAGAAGAGAGGCTAAAGAAGGAGCAGGCTGAAGCTGAAGCAAAATTGAAAGTATGTGGACTTAGAATTATTAACTTATAGTTTGTATTAACAATCGCATTTATTATCGGTTTAGCAACAAGAAGAAAAAAAGGAGAAGGCAAACAAGAAAAAAGTGATCCGTAACGAGCGTAAGAATATCAAGACGCATGTGAAGGTAACACATTATTAACTATCATTATTAACTATGAAATGGGATTAGATAAGAAAAGAATTCATTTGTTTGATAATATATATATATCATTATATATCATTGGTTTTTTTTTTAAAAAAAAAAAAAACCAGACACATAACTACTTTTATCCACCAGATGAATCACCGCCTCTAGATGTTATTGATATGCAGTTGTCAGAATTGGATTTTTTATTTGAAAAATTGAGCTTGGAAGATCTTCAAAATGTCAGAAAGCAATTGGACTCTACTCAAGACAGGCATGGTGCAAAACAAATTTTGGTAAAAGAGGCTTCAGGGCTTGTGAGTTCGGGGGTTTTATCAGCGGATTCTTTTAAATATTTTAAGTCAGATAAACTCAGTACTAGTCTTACCACTGCTCCTGCACCTGCAGCGAATGGACCCGCAGCAACAACCAATGTATGGGCAGCAGCCCAACAAGCACAATTGGAACGTGCATTGCAAGCATATCCACCATCTTGGAAAGGAGAGGGTGATAGATGGGATAAAATTGCAGAGGCAGTTGAAAACAAAACGAAGAAAGAATGCAAACTGAGAGTCAAGGTTAGCAAACAAATGTAATATAATCAAACCTGTTTCATTGATGTCTTCTTATATTAATCTTTTTTTCAATATTTAGTATTTGGCTGAACAAGTTAAAGCAAAGAAAGCTGCACAATCAACCTGAATTATTGATTTTATAACTATTGCATTTAGATATTTGTATTAACATTAGGTGAATCATCATTCAATCAAAAAGTGTTTATAATGTTCTAGACAATGAATTTGTTAAAGGTCATTCATTATGTAATATAGATTGGAGATTGTATGTAATGCTTAATAATACGTAAATGATATTATGGTGTGCTAAAAATAATAAACATCATAGAATATGACTACACAGAGTCTGGGCCAAACGTTTCTGTTTTAAATAGCCTGTTTGCAATTTCTTAAATTGGTTGTTTCTTTTCAAAATTTTAATGGATAAAAGCAAAAAACAATTATCGGCTTTGTTCGTCTAGCATTTTCCCAAATGCTATAGTTCTCGTCTATTTTTAATCATAGTCATGCTTTGACTTTTATTCCATATAAAGTAATAAAATATAGATTACCATTTAATTGGTAAGTTTTGTCTATTCATGAGTGCCAACTTATGTAATTGTTCCTTCTTTTGT